AAACAAGTAAGCATACCACATTTCACAGTTTTGTGCTACTTCAGCATTTACTGACTTTGCAGCTCTTGGAATCGAATTGAATAACATCTTAGAGCCACAAGGAAAATCAGTGATTGAAGACTTCCTCTGCCAGGTGCTCGGAGTCTAGGCAACTATATAACACCCAACAGCTATCACACAAAACGAATACACCGCTCGCACCCCTCTCCACAGTCTGAGGATCTCATCTGCTTGTCGGGTGATGACTCCAAGGGCACGCCACTAAATCCAAGTATAAAAAGGGAAGCCGCACTCCAGAAATGAATCTTCTGTACGCTGTTTAATCCATGAGCATAAGTAGACTGAGGACTAACACACAACTTCATGCTCTCACGCGTTCCACCATTATGGCTTGACCACAGACGCACTTATTTATTTCTGGAGTGCGGCTTCCCTTTTTACCCATCAGCTATCATATATAGCTATCAACCATCCTGTCTGTGGTATGACTACGCTGGAGAGGTGAGAGCCGCCATATGCCTGCTGCTGCCAGTAACCACACCCCCAACAAATGACAACGGCGGTGTGTTCGACAGTAGGGAGGTCCAGTGTGCATGCGAATGGATACTATCCCCACAATGTATGAATGAACAGGAACACTCAGTAGAGAGGATTCCTGTTCATTTATGCAGAAAGAGTCCTCAATCTCTTTTCCTATTTTAAAAGTTAAATATCACGGGTCTGTTTAGACCAGGGGTCTCAAACTCAATTTAGTCAGGGGCCACTGGACACATTTTTTAGTTGTGTGGGGGCCGCAGCTATATATGGTACCAGTGTTAATGTCTGCATATGTTACAAGCGGCAACTGCCACCCATTCAAATTAATGATCAGGTGACAGCTGCTGCATGTACACGCCTGCACACCGCATGTAATCATATGTGAAAGGATTACATGCAGTTAGGAATCTGTCACTATCAGTGGTTACACAATTGTTTATCCAGGGATAGTGATTGTTTTCATAACTGCATGTAATCATATAACATACCATTACATGCGGTGTGCAGGCGTATATTTTAAAAAAATGTTAAAATGGTGAGAAAAATAAATATTTTTGGTTTTGGTCTGACATTTTTTCTATTTGTGGTCCGCTTCTGCTCAATCAGAGACCACAGCATGTAAAATGTGCTATTCCAGCGAGTCTGTACATCTTGTTGGAGTCTTTTACCTGGTTGACCTAGCTGGATCTGAATATCCCGTAGGCAAGAGTATGCCAGGTCTGAATGTTTAAAGTAGCCAACTGTTGACCCTCTGAGACAGCCAGCTGCAGCGTATGGGCCACACATGAAATGCTTGGAAGTCCAGCATCATCATGCCTTTTATCATATTTCTGCCATTGTCACGGACCACAACATGGACAGAACTTTTGGGAATGGCCCAAGTCTCAAGCATTTTCTCAAGTATACTCGCTATAGCTTGGCCTGTGTGAGAGCCTTGAAATTTCTTTGCATGGAGCATGACTTGCTGTAGAGTTAAATTGTCATCTATCCATTGCGGAGTTAAGCTGATGACAGACACAGGACTCATACTACTGCTCCAGATTTCAGTGGCGAAGCTAATCCCCTTTACATCCTGCTGCAACATGTTGCTAATGTGTTTCTTCAAGTATCTGTGGTAAGACGACATCTGTGACATAGTGGCGACTCGGAATCTCATACCTCGGCTCCAAAACATTAAAAAGTCGCCAATAAACCCACATTTTCAAGTATAGAAACTGGCTCATCATCAAGAATGATTAACTGGGTAACTGCCTCAGTTATTGTTATAGTCCTCAGGTTAACCCTTGACAATATTTCTCATCTTGCTAGGATATGCTGCAGTGTTGGCTGGAGGCGATGGTAAATTCATCATGCTCACTTTTGTGTTTCAATTTTAGATGTTTTATGAGATTACTGGTAGTAAAATAACTCAGTTTGAACCTCCCCCTGATAATGTTGCAGGACTAAGGTATACGTCTGCCATGCATGGGTTGCACTCATTGATTTTAAGGTGACAACATAGGATCATGTCTTTGAAATTATCCTAAAATTATAATAAAGTCAACATTTTTTATGCTATTTCAAATGTTTGTTAAACCACTTACAATGGATGCTGCTTCTTGAAGTTTAAAAGCTTCTGTCTCCTGCAGAATCCGCTTGTTCCTTGAGCACTGGTCCTGATATCCTGTTTTAGATCTTGTCTCTTTTACCTTCCAGGGTCCTATGGAGCCCCCCATGTGTCTGCTAGTAAGCTGTGTGTGTCTCTACAATCACAGTCAAGCAAAACAAACGACAAACGCACTCAACAATTTGCTACCAGTTATACCCAATTTGATATCTTCTGCCCCCATGTGCTCCAAGATGGAGACTCTCATAGTTTAGAGTTAGGACCGCACTATAAGAGGTGCCTTGGCGCAGCAGTGCGGCTTACACATCCTCGGCTGAAGACGTGTATCCAAACCTCTGTCATTATCCTTAGTGGTGAGACATGTTGTTTTACATGCTGGTTTTGTGAGTGTGCCATGATGCCTTTCTGCTCTCTACAAACACAGGCACAGCAAGGCAAGTCACTCCTCTGCCCCCTGCTCCTCCTCTAAGCTAGTAGATGGACAGTTGCTGGAGACTTTATTGTCCCTTGTGATCTTGTACTTGACAGGAAGTTCAGGGAAACTGAGTTGATAGAGTTGGAGATTTTCAGAAACATGATGACTGTAAATGCTTGGGCAAACTTTAAAGAAATACTTTGCTGGGTAATGTGATCTGGATTCATAATTGAAAAAAACTGTTTGACAGTTTAATACTACTTTAATACGTTAAAGATAATATCAGATTTTAGTGATTTACATATACTTCAGGTGAAATCTAAGCTTTACTAAATCAGACACCTGCAGAGATCCCATTCTATAATGTGCTTCTGCCCAACACATTTTTAAACATTAGTCATGTCACATACTTAATTTTACATACAGTTTCATATTACTCATCATACCAGCCTAATGTCATCCAAAAAACAGTCTCTGCTGTAGACAGACTCAGGCTGGATGATGTAAAATATCTAAACAAAAAATATATTACAGAGCCCTGGTCTGAACTTCCTTACTTCCGGCTGGGTGGCTACTTTTGTTCCCCATGGTCCCTGTGTGTGTTGTAAAGAAGCCACCCCTCTGAGCTCACTCCCATCATGCACTACAATCTCACATTTAGTTTACTCATTTGTATTGATATAGATACTGGAGAGAGTGAGTTGGCGTAGAACCCCTGTCTGTGTTCCCACTGGGGAGATCCAACCCTCCATTTGTCCAGGTGACCATTGTCAGTGAGACAGGAAGCAGGGCCGGATTTACCATCAGGCAGAGTAGGCACATGCCTACAGATACCCTCCATAGAGGGGGACTGTGCAGGTACCTACTCTGCCCAATTCTCGGTGTTGTGTCAAGATAAAACAACAGCAATAGCAAGGAGGGTGCACCCTCCTGCTCCCAGACTAGCGGCGCCTACTGGAACTGCTGGCTTCCACAAACGCAGGGGAAGGACACCGGTGCTGTGCAAGGCTGCCCTGTAAAGTGCCTGTCTAATGTGGACAGGCGTTTAGGGCAGTCTTACGTGATGCCGGGGTCGTTCTCTGCATATGTGAAAACCTGCAGGTCCTGCAGCAGGTAAGAGCATCGGCGCAGGCTCAACAGAGTTCCATTAGGAACAGGGGCCCGAAATGGAAATCTGGCCCTGACAGGAAGTGATGGGAAATCCAATAGTTTGAAGCAAGTAAGGGAAAGACTCTTCCAATGGCAATTCCATTCACTTTGCAGAGATTTTTCCTCCATTCATATTGGGTCTCCAGGACAGGAGCCCAAGGGAAATCTCCCCAGCGGCACTTTAAATAAGAACTTCACAAAGTGGAGATAAAGTAAATATGAATACAGGCAGTTAAGCACAATTACGTCTATACTCCACACTTACAGATCTACAAATCTACATAGCAACTTTGACAAAGTACACAGTGCACTAGGCCATATATGTATTAAATGACACGTGCCCATTAAATCTGGGACCAACCCCACAGGGGAGTAGGTCACATGCTCTCCCATAACAGATGTGCCTGGGAGGGCAGGTAATGTGAGTAGAAGGGGGTCCAGGCCCTTTGCAGAGCCATTGCCACTTTGCCCCACATGGCACTGGAAGAGACTTGTAGTCTATAACTTTATATTACAACTCTAAATCTACTCTGCAACTCTGACACTGGGCCATATATGTATTAAATGACATTTGCCCATTAAATGTGTGACCAACCGCATTGCATTGGAAGAGCGTTTTATTCTATAACTACTAGCTGTAACAGAGGTGACCTCATTTACTATAGTCAGAGGTTGCTGAGCAAGGTCTAGCTCAGCTCTTTAAAATTGCAAATACGTTTTAAAATTCAGGATAAAATGCACCTTTAAACATTGTTATTTCTATTTAAAAAAATAAAAAATCATGTAATCATGTTCAGCCAGTCCTTGGAGGTGAGGGGATGAAGGCTTGTTTATAGGAATATCTAACCATGGTGGTAGCTCTTTTGAAGATTTATTCATGCAGGGTCCGAAGATTGTGCTCCTGTTCAGTCTTTTCAACATTTTCATTGATTGGTATTTGCATACGATGACTGGGGATCTTAGAATTTAGTAAATCAATCCCAAAATGGAGCTATAAATAGTACTTAAAAAGTTCAGCAAAGACACATTTTACCTTCACAAATAGCAACTTACAGAAATCTTTGAAAAGAACTTCACAATAGAATTTTGCAAGAAAAAGAAGGAAGTTTGCATATAGTTCAATGCTGGGATTTTCCGGCAGATGAGTGGATTACATCAAATCAAATGTGTGGGTTGTTGACAATAACTCGGAAAAGTGTCACATGACTTTGGTGAAATGAGTCATTACATTGCAACACTTGCCCTTCACTATAAAAGATGGTGCCTTGAAGGGAGCAAAACAGTGCAGGCTGTGCGCTTTGACTTGCACAATGGTCCAAATTCAAAGTCTCATTCTTCTGTCACTGTGCTATGGAGCATTTGCAATGCCAAGTCCAAAAAACAATGAAGACGTCAATCCGGAGGATCGGAAGTTTGCACTGGTAGGTATAACTTTTATCTTATGGCTGAACTCCAGCCTTAGCTTCAGTCTTGCACAGTTGTACCGGCTCCACTCCTGTACTGAAATTGCTTACTCTGATTTCACTGCACACTGTGAGCTTCTCATAGTTTGTTTTAGAGGCTGCAGCAAGTCAGATAGTCCCCTTCTCATTTCCTGGCTGCAGGGCATCTAACACCATCTAGCTCATTCTCCCCCCAGCCACATTATCTCCGCCCCACTCTTTTCATTCATTGGATAGAGGTTCAGCATTACATGTAGGTATTACCTAGGGTGGTCTGCATGGAAATGCAGTTTGCCTAACAAAGCCCTCTCCTCCAGACTGATATTTATCCACCAAGGCATTTTCATATTTGTGTAACTCCTCACAAGAGCCAGCCTGCAATGTATAGGGCTGAAGGCTCTTGAGAGAAGTATTAAGGTAGAGTGCTGTGGTGTATTCAGGAAGCCATGTACTGTACCCTGCTAGCCCCTCCCACCAGCCAGGATCTGCCTGCATTGTAATGTCACTGGGTCTACAATAAAGTATGTAATACAAACTGAAAGGTTTTATTTAATGGGAGTAGCCAGGGAAGGAAAAAACTAGCAGGATAGACTTCAGCTGTAACAAAAAGTTTTCTATTTTTTCACAAGGACTACCTAAACAAATTTTACATAATGATCACCAAATCAAGTAAGACATTTGCAGAGAGGATCAAAGAAATGCAAAAGTTTTTTGGAATGAAAACAACAGGCAAGTTGGACACTGACACAATGAATATGATGAAAGCCCCAAGATGTGGCATGCCTGATGTGGCAGATTTCAGTACTTTCCCTGGAAGACCAAGATGGCAGAAAACTTCCCTGACCTACAGGTATGGTTACTGTGCTTGCACACAAGGATATAGCAGAGGGCGGTACATCAGCTGAAATGGGAGGAGTTACACTTTTCCAGGGTGGGGTATATTTTATATTTTAACAGACACAAAGATCAGAATGAGAAAATTCTGTTCTTTATTGTACTATGGATATATTTTAGATTTTTCTTCAGATTTATACTAAACTGGGTTAAAAGATGTTTATTGGAGAGCTGCTTTAAAGATCTCCTTGTTTGCACTACGCCCACTAATGACATCACTCCTGACCAGAATTATCAACTCAAGCTATGATTCGGCCTATTAGGCTAAAATAGTACTACCTGTGTTCTGGTTCAGCAAATGTCGTGTGATTGCTTTAAACATTTCAAAAGATGAGAGATTCACTTACAAACTGCCATTAAAAACACCAAAACAAAACCAGTAAGAGAAAATAGAAATAACAACAGTACAGACATGTTATTCTGGGCACTGTGATATGTTCTATTGTATATATGATATTATGTGTTAATACATACATAAAACAAGCAGCAAACAATTGTGTAGCTACTGCCTAGGCATTTAGTCAGATGATATCTGCTGATAGAAAGGATCTGGATTAAGACTGCTTGATTCACCAAATTAGGGATAAGGTCAGACTTGGACCAAACACGGTCCTAACCTGAGCTGTTTTGAATATGGAAGGAAGCTCCTTCAGCTGTGGCCAGGGAATTTCCTGCCTGCAGCTGCACTTAAGCAAAGGGCTGGTATGCAGTGACATCATTGGCCTTATCTGGCCACATGATCATATTTGGTCAATGACATTTACCTAATATGGCCAGTAAAAATATGCTGTTCACTTTGAAAGGGAATTTTTTGTGGTGAAAATTCACTTTGCAAAAAATACTTAATCACGTGCAAGGGAAATTTAAAAAAAAAGTATTTTTGCCTGCACATGATTGGATGATGGAGGTCAGCAGAGTTTTGCCTCATTCACTAAGCTAAGGGAAAGTACAAATGAACAATCCTATTTACCTTTAAATAATATTAATCAATCCATGGGCATTGCTTATACAGTGGGAGGAAATGCACTTACTTTTTTTCCCCCTCTGGTTTCTTTAAACAGAATACAGAATTACACTCCTGATCTACCCAGGCGTGTGGTTGATGACTCAATACAGAAGGCATTCAATGTGTGGAGCCAAGTAATTCCTCTGAGGTTCAGAAAGGTCACAAGAGGATCAGCAGATATACTCATACAATTTGCAAGAGGATGTAAGTTAATGTTTAATATATTTTCATTTTTTTTAAAATCTAAACACAGACGTTCAAGGCTAACTTACTAAAGGAGTTGAGATTGCAAATTCCAGTTAACTGTCAATACCCAATGCCAAGGAGTATGCAACTGTTAAGAACCCTAGGTATTGTCAAACATTATCGGTGACTTTAACATCATGATCTGAGCATTAGCAAAGTTATAAAGAGTCAGCCTAATTAAAATGGGTATTTCAGTATCAGAATGATTCAGGCAGAATATACCACCTACATATTTTTAAATCTCTTGAGAATTCCAGGGGAGTGTCGTCAACACATGAGTTTCCTGGTCAGTATCTTCCCACATTCCTTAGTAGGGCATTCCTATGTTAAAGGTTTAATTTACATTACATTATTATTATTACATAGTATTTATATAGCGCCAACAGTTTGCGCAGCGCTTTACAATGTAAGGAAGACATTACAATTACAATACAATTCAAGACAGGATGGTAAGGAGGGCCCTGCCCCTGAGGGCTTACAATCTGAAAGAGGAGGGGGAAATGTAATACATTATGACAAGTGTTGGAACGAGGAGGAGTAATACTGTAGTTCATAAGTCAATAGTAACATATTAATATTAACTGTTTTACAGCACATGGTGATCAGTCTCCTTTTGATGGTCCTAATGGGATATTGGCCCATGCCTATGCTCCCGGAGAAGGAATAGGTGGTGATGCCCATTTTGATGAAGATGAAAGATGGACAAATAACAGAGCAGGTATTTTCTTTTTTTGGTTTCTTTTTTTTTTTTAAATACATTTAAAAAAAAATTCTAATTATTACTTTTTTTTAAAAAAAAGTCTGGAATTTATTGGTTACAATGACCACAGGTACACATGTACCAGGGACAATGTGTTTCCCCAAGTCAATCAGTTTTAATACTGTGGGTAGCACAAAGATAGAACATTGCATTATTACTATATGGAGTCCCATGTTTTGCCAAGACACTGCATGGAATCTGTATGGAGTTCATCCAATCATAAAAAAAACAAAACAAAATAAACATAACAGTAATAGTAATATGTATTTGTATTTTATTTTAGGTTAGTTGGATCAATTATTGCAGGTTATGCTGCACTTATGGAGCACACTAAAGCTGGGTTCACACCTAGGCGTATTGAATATGCGCGTTTGTCGCGATTCGCGGTAAAAAAACGTGCGACAAACGCGCCTTTCCGAGGGCTACTTGGCTGTATCCCAATGGAAACGCGAGACCAAAATGCCCCAAAGAAGTACATGTACTTCTTTGGGCGTAGGCCGTTTTGTAGCGAGTTCAGACGGGCTGAAATAAGGAAAGGTGTGAACCATACCCATAGAAAACAATGGGATTTTCAAGTTTGTACGTTTTGTAGAGCGTTCATAGAGCGTTGAACGCGCGACAAAACGTAAAGGTGTGAACAGGGTGTAAGCCATTGCCCCTGTCCATAACGGTCTAATCTAATGTACATTCAACGGCCATGAATCCATGCGTTCTAGGATCAGACTGGTCCCCAAAAAATACTCCACCAGTTTGTTTTTTGCTCTTGGAGCGTTATCGGGCAATGACTTAGGGCATTCCATGTATACAATTTTACAGTATTTTCCCCTGATTTCACTTTTTCCAGGATGCGTTATTTTAAAGTAGACCTAAAGTCTACAATATTTTTTCTGATTCAAGTCCCACACACATATTTGTAAACAGATGATGAAAATAATGTACAGTGGAATACCTTATGTGTGTGATAAAGCTCTGTCAATTGATGGTTTTACACTCCTTTACAAACGATCTCTATATTTGCACAGAAAAAGTAATACAGTTTTTCATTTTCAGTAGCACTTTCCTATATACTTCACAAGACACAAGTAATATTTAACAAATAAAATTACTTTTCCTTGTAGATTTCAACTTATTTCTGGTGGCTGCACATGAATTTGGTCATTCCTTGGGTCTTGGTCACTCTAATGAGCCCAGAGCTTTGATGTTCCCAAACTATCGCTATGTGAACACGGACAACTTTCGATTGTCTCAAGATGACGTCAATGGAATACAGGTCCTGTATGGCAAAAGGAGAAATTAACAGCTTGAGAGAAGATTCCATCCAGGAGAATGCAGACATACATTATATGGCGGAAAGCATTGGACACCCCTCCAAATGACTGAGTTCAGATATTTCTGGTGAAGTGAACTGTTAATGCTACAACACACAGACAATTTATACAAGTGTGCGTTTCCAACATTGTAGTAATATTTTGGGGAAGGCCATTTTCTGTTTTAGCATGACTATTACCCTGTGCACGAAGCCAGATTCTTAAAAACATGGTTTGGTGAGTTTGTGTGAGTTATGTGCATGAACCTCAAACTTATTGAACGCCTTTGGAAAGAATCAGAATGCTTATTGAGAACCAAGTCTTCAGTACCTGACCTTACTAATGGGCACAAATTCCTAAAGACACACTTCAAAATCATGAGGAAAGCCTTTCCCGGAGAAGGTTCTTTTGCACACAAAGGGGTGTCAACTGCATGCAAATGCCTATAGTTTTGAAATAGGATGGCCAACAAGCTTCTATAGGTGTGATGGTCATGTTTCCATAAACTTTTAGCCATATAGTGTATCACATACATTTACTATCTATTATATTGTAATGCATGTAACTACATAATACAACTTTTTGTTTTATTTTACTGAACCTATGATAAATGCTTTTTTGAGTTTTTTTGTCAATTTTATAAATAACAGAAGCAATACATTATAGCTACAAGTAAACATCAAACCCCAAATCATTCATTTAAGATGTTCTAACCGTATCATGCTGTATTGTGTGGAGAGAATGGGGGAGTAGTACTGAACACCATGTCACCATTATTTCCCCTAAATGTGAAAATCAGTAACAAAAAAAGTCAGATGTAAATCTAATTTTTTATGCTATAGGCATTAATAAAAGGTGACACATCAGCAGGAATGCAGAGCATCATAAACTTTACTTAGCCAGGGTCTTCAATAGACTCCTATTGCGGCCCTGTCATGAATGATCAAGGCATAAACAATATGGAAAATAGTTTGAGGAGTACACATCTGTCAGACTTGGGGTAGTGACCTATACTGATCTACAGCTGAAATACATAAAGTTTCATGCAATCTCCATAATTCTTACTCTTATATAGTTACCCTGCAAAAAGGTGGTTACAGTAATATATAAGATACTGTTTAGTTTGACATTAACCACTTGATGTCCGGGGCATTTTCTTACTACTTGCGCACACATGATAAAATATAAAGTTTTGGCTAGAAAACAGCTTCAGACCCCCAAACAATATATATATATATATATCAATGATATATGTTCTGAAAGGGGCGGTTTTTGCGCAAATGTTCATCAAACTAGTATTTTTAGGAAATAATAAACTAAATTAAAAATTAGTGCACAGAAATATAATATAATATCCAATTTTTTGGTTAAATATGAAAGACGGGGTCACGCCGGGTAAATAGATACCAAACATGTCAAGCCTTAAAATTGCGTTCGCCCTTGAAGCTGCAAAAAAGTCAATACTCAAAATTTTCCATAGGGAACATTTTAAACGCTTTTACTGCTCATCAGTTTAGTGCTAACAGTGATTGACAGCGCTAGAATTATTGGTCTCACTCCGACGTTCGTGGCGATATTTAACATGTGTAGCGCAATTGTTGTTTTCGCACATAGGTGCCACAACGCATGTTTGTGTGTGTATGTGCGTGCACGTGGGGGGCGGGGGACCTAAAACATTTTTTTTGCATTTTTTAATTTTTCTTTTGTACTTTAATTTTTAAACACTTTATTTTTGTTTACACTAACCCTATTGCTATTACATGGGGGCTAATAAGCCCCCTATGTAATAGCAGATAGGGTGTGACAGGTCCTCTTTATGGATACATTAGGGGTCTTTCAGACCCCTAATGTCACCTAAGGACCCCAAAGTAGCCGAAGGAAGCAGAGATCTGCTTCCTCAGCTTCATCTCCTGGCTCTAAGAGACGGAGACTGTATAGTGACACTGGAAGTGATGTAATCCACATAACTTCCGGGTCCAGTGATCGGAGGAGAGTTCAGCGGCTGGAAGCCGATTAATCTCTCTCCGATCATTGCGGGAAGCCGCTCCCGGGCGCCGTACGCGGACAGCGGTGCCCGGGAAAGACAACGGCGGCCACGGCACGGCCACAGCCTCTCCATGCCTCCAGTGCTGAGTACTCTTCAGCTGGTGATCTTCTGGTATCCTGACCCAGGCTCCTTTGACTACTCTTCTGCCTCCTGTCTGATCCTGCGTTGTCTGCATGTTGCTGATCCTGGCCTGCTGATCGACTACGATTTCATCTCCTGCTACTCGACCTTCTTGCCTGCACGTTGCTGACCCGGCCTGTCTGACTTCGGCTCTTCTCTGCATGCCTTTTTGCTGTGTGTTTATATACAGTCGCTCAGCGGAGCAGCTACATCCAGCATCAAACTCATCTTCCGGCACTCGTTCACCTCTGTGCCCCAGATCATTTGTATCAATATTCAGGTTTCTTTTGCATATATCTACTGCTAGCAAGCAGTAGATATATGCAAAAAGTTTATTTTTTTAAATAACGAATAATTAAAAGTGGTTTAAACTTACCCCGTCTTTGCCGCGCGCTCCCGTCCGAAAAGCCGAAACTGCTCCAGCAGCCGCAAAGCATCTGGGGGCGGGCACATGTGCAGTTCGGATTTTCGGCCGGGAGACGAGGAGAGACGCAAGGTAAGTCTATGGACGCGTGCACCCGCATGCAGACACCGTGGGACAGGAAGTGCCAGCAAGGACAGAGGAGTCAGCGCAGGAGAGAAGGCTGAAAAGGACAGGAAGGAAGAGGAAGATCGGATTAAGAAACAGAATTTAAGGTAAGTGCTTTAATTAACATTGGGGGAGGGAATTGGATATAAAACTGGCTTAAGGACCGTATTCAGCAGAGAGTGATCAATGATTCATCATGGTGTTGATTATGATGAGTGGCTACATGCTTTATGATTTGCATAGAGTGCTGCACTCAGTACAGCAAAAACACCCCCCTAGGCCCTATCTACTGCATATATGGTTTGTTGATCCCTACCAGTCTTGTAGCACACTGGTCAGATATTCAGTGCTGAGCTTATTTTTTAGTCCTATTATTTGTAATATATTTTTTTTAAATAAAAATATATTGGTTTGGACTTGGAATATATTCTTTTTTATTTTGAGGTGTCATGAAAGAAAGCTTAGTGGTGCACAGCACTAGAAGAGAAAGAGAAAAGAAGAAAATGAAGCAAAGAAATCTAGAAATTGTATGCAGTTTTTTTTTTAAACACCTGTGGAAGAACAGGTATTGTCAGATGCTGGAAACCATAGCAGTATCTCAGACAATGTTTTGTCAGATGTTACCGAAGTAGAGGAAGCGACTACGGTTTACCATGAAGGTGCACACAAACATGTTGAAAACAATTTTGAAGAAAGCAATCATATTGATGTACCAAGTTCAGTGCATGGCTTATTCCAGTTTAATAACATTGAAAGGGATAAATCGCTAATACAACAATCGGAGTCAGAATAATAAGACATCACAGTTACTTAAAATATCACAGAAACTGCTAACTGAATTGATTGTGTATGGGTCAGAAAAACATCAAAACAAAGCTGGTCCATTTGCATTATCAAATGGACGTTTAATGACCACACCATGGTTTAAGCAAGGACTTGCTAATGGTCAAGGGGAGGAAGTGAATTGGTCATGGTTGCTTTATTCACCTTTAAAGAAATCAGCTTACTGTTTTTGTTTTCTACTTTTTATTTCCTCAAATTCCAATGCACGATCATCTTTTGAAACAACTGCAGGATTTCACAACTGCAAAAAATGTGAAAAAGTGACAGCCAATAAACATAGTCCAGTCACCGTAAGTCTTTTGCGACGTGGCGAAAAACAGAGCACAGATTAATTCAAAGAAAAGGAATAGGTACTGAAATTGAAGCCCTAATTCAGTCTGAAAAGCAAAGATGGCAAGATGTACTAGAACGAGTGCTTTCATGTATAAAGTTTTGGTCACTCAAAACTTGCCGCTTCGTGACCATGTAGAGGGATTGGAATCACAGGCAGGGCCGGATTAAGAGCATCAAGGGCCTGGTGCTGAGGATTTTGGTGGGCCTTTTTATGGAGATGGCAACAGTCACCAGGACCCTCTTCTTCCTGTCCTGGCTGGGATTTGTAGTCTCTCTACAGCTTGGAGTCAGTGGTGGAGCGCCAGGGCCTAGTTGCAGCTGTGACCCTGGTAAATTTGCCACTGACTCCAAGCTGTAGAGAGGGACTACTTAGGTTGGGTCACGGCCAGCCGCGTTTCGAGTTGGGTCGGCTCGGCCGGGCCTATTTGCAGGGGTGGACCTGGAGCGGGAGCTCCACCCGCCCCTATGTTAATCTGGCCCTGCTCACAAGGGTTTCTCCAATATTTTTTACACAACTTCACTTCTCTCAGCAAAATCACAGTTGTCAAAGTATCACCGACTTCAGGTTGTCACTTTAACAAAACTTCTGCCACATAGGCTTTTTCCCACACACTGGCCACACAGGCTGGTTCTCCTCAAATCCTCCTGACTCCTGGACAGACACCTCCTCTGTCCCCCAGCTGGAACCCTGAACTTTCGCCAGCAGCCTATTCATAAGTGCTGGTCACCACTAAAGTACGGATCCAGGAATGGAGATTTCATCCCTCTTTTTGAAGTCTCCTATTTCCAGGAACCCAGGCCAAATCCGGAAAACCCATAAAGAACTGCAAAGCAAGTTTGTGCTTTTTGGAACCGCTCAGTCCCTCTGGCTGAGAGTCCTGGATGACTATTTTGCCAAATGAGACCATGGCATTGCCACGCACTGCCACACAAGCTACTTGAATAAAACAAATTCTGCTGTATTCCTTATGTAATCCAGCATGCACTGGCGACGGCTGATGGCATGCTTCTGATGGCTGTGGCTGGTTGTCTGATCTTTGTTTTCCAATTGTTATTATATTTGAAAAAAAAATTACATTGTATGCTGCATGATTATTTATTTAACTTACCTTATGCCAAACCTTTATTGAAAAGAAAACCTAGGCAGGGGAACAATTGTTTTC